CATGTTTAATTTTTTTACTAAAAAGAAAAGCGTAGGCCCTACTCAACAAAGTCCAAATTCATTGAGTTAATTATTACGAAATGTATGTGTCATACACAAATATTAAACTAAATTTAAATTACAAAAGAACTTACAATATAAAACATTATTTGATAAATTTATTAGGGACTTCGTTGAATAGGGCCCACGCTTTTCTTTTTAGTCAAAAATTAAAGATGTTTAACATTATTTAAAATTGTAGTTAATTTTCGGTTGTTTTCAAAGTAATTGATATTTTAAATAAAATATGCTACAATTGATTGGCAAATTGTTCTTGCAATAAAATTATTTTTTGCATTTTAGTTCACTTTTTACTAATTTTTGGAAAAGCGTGTTTTTAAAAAAGTTTTTTTAAATTAATTAATTTTATTTTTTACTTTTTAGTCCTATTAAAGGTACTTAATATTTGGTGAATAGATTACTAAATTCATTTTAGAAAATTTGAAAAAAAAAATGGAGTTTTAGTGAAATGACCCCCACATTTGCCCCCCCCCCCGGCATTTGCGACGTCTGGGTCCCAGTATTTTGATGGAACGTTGTATTATCATCCAAAATGAGTGTCTGGGTTAAGTTTTACTCTTCTATGATATCAGGAAGTGGGTTAAATTCATTTTAGAAGATTTGAAAAAAAAACATGAAATTTTAGTAAAATGACCTAGGGGTCATTTTATTTGACCCTGTGTAGGGCGACCCGGATGTCCAAGTCCCAATATGATTACAGGATATTGTATTGTCATCCGAGATGAGTGTCTGTGCCAAGTTTCAGCCCTCCACGACATCGGGACGTGGGTTAAATTAATTTTGCAAGATTTAAAAAAAAATACCCGTACAAACGTGTTAGCGAGCTAAAGAGAAAAGCATGTAAAAAGGTCACACCATTGTAAAACCAATAGCATCGCTGTTCCGCATCGAAGCTAAAAACCAAAAATGATTCACATAAATTGTTATTTTTTTATTTTTTCTATAAAATCGTCAATAAGTCGGGTTGGCCATATATTTCTCAAACCTTCGAAATTGTTATCGTCTTTCGAACGGGTAAAAAACAATTCGTATACTTTCATTAATGTAAACAGTGGAAATGGAAACGCACATCGAATCACCCAAGTGTTTTTCCGAAGTAAAAAAATTGTGTTTTTGAGTTAACGTTTAGGCGAGTATTCGATAAGTAATACTTCCATGGAAAATCATATTTTTAAATCTTTGTTTACTTTTGAATGGGCATTTTTAAATTTGATAAAACTTTTTTTATTCGACACTAAAACCAAATGTTTTCGTCATAGTTTAAAGATGGAATGAGTACGGTTAATTTTTTTTAAAAAAAACCAATAAATGTCTTTGTAGGTAGTTGATATTAAAAATGGTCATATGTAGTAAAATGTAGATAAAGAAAAACCAACTTTGTCTTGGTAAAATATTTTATTAAAAATGTCCATTGAAAATAATTAAAACGACGGTGACTTTAAAATTGGTGGGAAAATTAAAAAAAAATAGGGGCCTCATTTTAGGCCAAGACGAACCAACAAGTCCACTGGTATCAGAATCCCACGGGAGTAATAGGTATATTTTTTTAAATTTTAAAACTATTTAAAATAGAACTCGTATCTCATTAAAAAATTGTCTTACGAAAAAAATAATTTCCGATTTGAAATCGGGAGAAAAAATCTTGTTGAATTCATATGTAACATGATTTTTTGGTATTTTAAATAATTTTAAAATTAAAAAAAAATGAATACCATTTATTGTACACATAGAGAATCCTGAATGTCTCACTTGAAGCTCGGTAGAATTTTACATTACTCCATGACATATATATATATAATATATATATATATATATATACAGGGTGATTCATTAATAATAATAGGACGCTTGTATTTCCTTAGAATAATCGAAATTTTCTAGTATTTTTTTTTTTTTAAAACATTTTTGGTTATCATGTTTTACAATATTATCAAAATACTAAACATTAACCTTTTTTCTATAAATTCCCATAACCTTATCCACTTTTAGAAACTTAAATAGTAACGTATATATTTTATTTACTATTTAAACTTAAAATAATTTTCGATACACAAACAGTAGTCAAAGGAAACGAGTATAGTTAAATGCCTACGACAGAAAAGGCATAGTACATTTTCTAGGGTTCTAAAAAGTTCCTTGAAGGTCGATTTTTAAATCTTAAATGGTAAAATATACACATGACTAACTTTTTAAACAAATAATATTTTGTCGAAAATTTAGAGCGATTTCTACCAGTTGATATTTTGATTCTTTTCCGAATCACCTACTAATTACTTAGAGTAACAATAATTATATTGGAACACAGTGAAATTTTTATAAACATTCGAACAATCGGTGGCATTAGTTGACAGTTGTTATTAAACTATACTTTTGAAGAAAGTCTTTTTTTTTTTGCGATACAGCTGCAATAGCTGACGATACATAAAAAAAAACTATACCCACACGTCTTGGGTCAAAATATATTTAACGGGCAAATCGTAAAACTTAGTATCAACATTTTCGAAAATGTAGAACAATTTTCAATAATTGATATAGGATACAATTTTCATATTTATTACTAAGAGTAACGATTGTGAAAAATAGTAACATTTTTATAAACAACCGCACGACCGGTGACATTTGCCGAGAGTTGTTAAACTATACTTTTGACAACAATATTTGTTTGATATAATATCTGCGATGGCTTGTCAATACAAACAAAAATCTATAGGTACGTCTTGGTAGCTCGAGGCTACAAAATATATGTACCGGGCGAATTGTAAAATGTTGTACCTACATATTTTTTTATGTAACTTAGTAAAAGTTGTAACAGTGAATAATTTCAAAATTATTTTTGATTAAATTTAAAAGATGAAAAAATTAAAATAAAGAAACGGGCCTGTGTTGTAGACAATACTATACGAACCGCTTGTTCAAGAAAGGAAATAAGTGAAAAATTCCAAAATAATAGAATAACGCGAAGAAAATAGTTTTTTCAAAATAGCCTTTAGAGGTCCTATATTGACTGTATAATGCTATTGATGTATAATATTGTTGTCTCGATTTAACAAGAATAAAATACTTGGTGTACTTGGCGGATGGTGACGAATCCGATGATTTATTGTATTTATCACCCAGCCATTGTTTTTGTGATTTGTTTGCACTGATTTAAACTTGACCATAATAACATGACTATAATAATGATATGTTACTATATTAGGTAACTATGTTGCTATAGTACTTACATTAGCCAAGGATAAAAATAAGATAATTAAAAATACTCGCGAGTTCACCTTTAAGGGTCGCACACAAATAATATCAATTTATAGTTTTTATATTTTTTCTTGTAATCTAAATCTTCGTTGTGTGAGTACTTTTGACTGATACACAGTTGACGTTACTTCGATGGTTTATAACTTTTTCAAATTTATTGTGAATTGGTTAGCTGGCTTATAAGAGTTTTAAGAATAATTTCGCTATACAATTATGTGAGTGATGATTATGATTTTATTATTTTATTCATAACTTTAACCGAATTGATTGTAATTTTTTTCTCAGACATTACGTCTTATGACAATGCTATTAATTTTATAAGTAAACAAGTACAGATAATTTTTTACAAACACTTGCAAACATTTCCATGTTTACTATCTTCGTGGGCACCCCTTTCATCTTCAGCTGGTGAACATTATTAATTGCCGTTGTTAATACATTTTACATCGATATTCGAACATGTCCAGTTATGACTGTACAATTCAAAGTTTATAGAGTCTTTCTGAAATTAAAAAATAATAAAACGTACACAGAGTGTTTATAGATGCATTGAGTATAAATTCATATAAAAAAAAAAATTCACAAAAACATTTTTTTTCTCCGAATTTGATGCTATCTTTAACCGCTCTACAGTTAAAACTAAACACTATAAAAAAAATTTGTTTTTATTCTTGCTATAGTAGGTATATATAGATTAGACCTGTATCTTTAGTCTAATATTCAGCTCTTTAATCTTGAAGGAATTATTTTTTTTCGATTTTGATACTATTCTCACCTCTACAGTTGAATTAAAATGCTATATTTATTTATATATGTATTTTTTTATTATCAGAAACAAAGACGATGCAGCTAAGGTTAATTGATATTCTTAATAATACACTAACGAGTTAATTAACATTTTTATAAAGTTTTAATATTCAAATATAACATTTACGAATCACACAAATATTACAGTATTCGATGGACAACCCACATAATATACACTCTTTAGATATATAAGAATTAATACATAAAAATAAAAAACAAGGCTAACAGCATTTAAAATGACATAAATGAAATATATTAAATAGTAAATATGAACTTTTTGTTAAAAAACAGACAAATTAAATATTTTAAATACTTTGAATTTTTGTATATTATAGCGAACGACGATGGTATGTTGTTGTAAATTTGTAGCCCTGTAATATTAATATAAAATAAATTTATAGTGCGATAATAATACAATATGTAAAATTATATATATTATATAAATGTAATATCCTTCGGTTGGGGCAGTTTTTAAGAATAATTGTTTGGTATAATTAAAAATAACCTAATTACTCTAAAAAGAACTCCTTAAAAACCCGTATTGAGCATAAATAGTATTTTTTGTGTTTCAATATGTTTAGGGTTTAATACATTTCTTGCCATTGTGTCCCATATGTTATCGTTATTAACCACATACTAAAGCTATTTCTCAGATACCTGTTAACCGTTTATCTCTATTCTCTTCTAGTTAAAACAACCAGAAATTTACCACAATCAAAAGGTTAATTCAACTGTTTCTCTTTTATTTTAAAAACCCTGCTCTAGACCTACCTTCAGTCAAAATTTCAGACCTCAGTGACAAATCCTAAAAACTTAAAAATAAAACATGTTTACTTTTTCTGAGCGAATTTTTTTTTTGTAATTAACAGCAAATTACTTGCCTAGCATCTGCATTGGTCCATCAGTATTCCGTTCGTTACGTATTGTAGAAAATGATTTCCAAAAATCATATATTTTATAAATTTCTTTTTCGACATCTTACCAACTAAGAAAAATTATAAAAGTGTTCACATTAAAATGTATCAAACTATATTATGCTGTAGTTACTAGTCACAAAAATTATTATTGCCTTTTTGTGTACAATATTAGGTCATATTTAAAAGCCATCTAAAAACAGTAATTATGTTTTTCCGCTTATTTAGTTTTTAAATAATCTAAAATCGTGTCCAAAAAAAAATAACGTGGAGAACGTAATAAAATGAATATTTCAATAATTAAAATTAAATAGTCTAAACAGTATGATTTTTTAGCTTTGACGTGATATTCTAATATGAACAAGTTAAACAAAAAAAAAAATTGTATCAAATCTCGACAACAATTTTATGGACTTTTATTTAGAGTGATCTTATTAAGTTTTAGTATAAAATTATTACCAGTTTTCGATTTTAATTAATTAATTTTTTTTTAAATACCTGCACCAAAATATTCACCAGATAATGTGACAAACGAAAACATTATTATTATTAATTATCAATTTTCCAGACCTAACAATCTACGATCGGGGCTATTTTATAAATGGGGTATGTAGATCATATTATGATTCTCAAAAAGTTTTAACTGTTAAAGGTGTAAGCCAAATTAGCATCAAAGCGTTAATTTGAAAGTTATTTTATCTGAGAGAACTAGTCAAGTAGGGTCGACGCATGATGGAATCAAAGAGGAGACGGAGAGGTCACAGGTCTACAGGAATTATTATCAATAAAAGTGTTAAAACCATTTTTAAAAAATCGCTCTGATGCTAATTTGTAAACACTGCACCTTACTTCAATACATTCTTACTGTGTTTGGTTTGGACTTTACTGGTTTGAAAATACTAACTACTGACTCGCATCAAATTTCATATATTATATAATATGTCGCAATATCTATTACTGAACTAATATTATTCAACGTACGAGGCAAATGTTCAGTTAGCTTTTCGATTTCCTCTTGAGTTAGTCCATAGGGGTGATCGAATAAGTATTCTTTAACTGCTTGCTTGTCAACTTTGTATCTTGAATACAAGTGTAAACCAAGTAATTTTGTTTTTTTTTCACATTGAATACGTGTCTCATCATAAATGTAGTGGAGTTGCTAAAATCATTAAATTAGTATTTTTAATACACAATGTGAATACTTTTATTATTGAAATAATGTATCTCGATTTATTTCTGTTATATTATTCACTAGTTTTATAAAGCGTTTAATTAGTATATATATTTTTTTAATGTATTATATTTTTGGATAAAAAAAATCATAATTACTTCAGTAGTAAATAATGATTTTACTAATGCTCTAAATTCAAGTGGCCTCATAGGTATATCTAGAAATCATTATAAATGTATCCACGTTATAATTTACCAAACTATATTATGTTGTAACAAATTGAGTAGTTGTAATTATAAATATTGCGTTTTTATGAATAATATTTTGCCATTTAAGGTATTACATATTATAAGTCTCCTAAAAAGCAATGATTTTATTCGTCCGCTAGTTCAGTTTTAACAACCTGAAATCATTTTTAGGCTTAGAGAAACAAGCTGACCTTAGAGACAGGTCTAAGTGGCTATTTCTCTCCCCAGACAGTTGCACACCCGGAGGAAAAAACCGACAGTGGCCGAGTTTCAAACCGAAGATGCTACACTGCGGCCTTATCTCACTCCACCACGAGCCTGCCCCCGATACTTTCTGCATAACAGAATAAATATTCCTCAGAAATGTTGAAAAAAAACGAACTAACCTATAACCATTAACAATTTGTTATGTACCACATCAATGTAGTTATTAGTTTTACATTTCACATGTAAAATATCATACAAAAATCTATTACTGAATTATTATTATTCAACTTACTCCATACGGAATCAATTATCTTTTCGGCTTCCCAATCCCTTATTTTCCAACCGTTGCGTACTGTTTGGTCACTTAAGTATGAATTTAATGTATCCTTGGTAACCTTATGATATTTCATTTCTACCGCTTCATAAAATCGATCTAGTACCTAAAACCGGTGCATTGTTATTTTTAATAGACAATTTGAATATTGAAATTATAGAAATAGTGTCTGGAATTACTACTAGCATAATATTCAAAAGGTTTATAGAGCATTTAATTTTTTTTTAATGAATCATATAATTAGATATAAAAAATTAAAATTACATAACGGTTTTCGAAAATTGATGCATAGTGTTCTAAACTAACAAACTTATATAAAAATATAATTAAATATGGAAAATTCATTGTTGTATTTTTTCTACGCAACTCGAATAATGTTTTGCAGTTGTTTAAAACATAAATGATTTTTATTATTTTTAATGGCTGCTGTTTTAGCGATTTCAGTGTAAAACCTAATATATGCATGTACATTTTGTTTGTTCAATATAGGTTGAAAATTGCCATTGAAATATAAAATAAACAATCGAGGCTATAGCGTATGAATCATAAAAAAGAAGTAGTTGTTTTGCAATCTGGCAAACCCATAATATGTACCTTGCTAACACAACCGTTTTATAACAAAATGTTATATTTTAACTTTTTGTAAACCAAACGTTTTTGAAGAAAACATTTTTTTTTTTTCAAATCAATTCCATATTAATATTGATATTTTAGACGTTTTATTACTGTATCAGGTTTCTGTCTGATGGTTACACAGGTGAACTTACCCAAGTTAAGTTAGGAATCCTGTGACCATGTGATTATGATAATGTTACCATCCGTGTGGTTATGACCATGTAATAAATAGTGTGATTGTGACTAAAGTAATCAACCGTGTGATTGTGACTAAGTAATGAGCAAATTTTTTAGGCTAACAACAAAAATAAACATTAAGAGTGCCTTAGTGGTGGAAGCGTGTTGTTTTGGATTTTCAATTTTTGAAATAAATACGTATATATGGTCAAGAGACATATATGTATATCATTTAAATATACATTTGATTTTTATAATTCAACGATTGGTGTCATAATATGTACAATTTGTACAATTTTTTGGCTTGCAAAATATTTGAAAAAACAACCCCTGTAATATAAGTTTAAAACCATTTTATAATATTTTCAGAAGACAAGTGATAATTTTAGTTTCGACAATACTTCCAATACGATTTTAATGAATTGTACCACAATACTAGGCGTGGTCAAACATTGTGAATTTATCCCAAGAGACACCACATGAGATAAGTATAATAGTAGTAATTGTAGTGTAATAATATTCTTGATCAGAACACAAGCATTCGTACTATACATTTCGGCGGCGATTTATTAGGAAAAGTTTTAACTAAATAGTTGTTCATATATTTTTATTTTGGTATATAGTCGTTAGTACGAGCATGTCCTTAGAGTTAAAACCGTCTAAGATTTATTCCCCGACTCTTCCAGTACAATACTATACCCTTTTTTAAGTAGCCTCAACTCCTAGATAGCCGGTCGTTTGTCGTAAACGGTTTAATGTGGAAAAAGTAAACCGAACTTGGGAATTTTGTCCAGAAGAATCGGAGCGCGTGTCGGACTAATAGTTCCCCAGAGGACTGAAGCCCCTATTTTATGGGTCAAACTGATCAAACTTTATTCTTTTAGTCGGGGAAAAAATAGGACAGCAAATACACATAAAAGGGCGAACCGCAACTGTTTTTAAATAGTAAAAATATGATACAAAACAATAATAATTCCTAGTTGAAATTTCAAAAATGTATACAGGTACTTTTAACTGTTTTAAACAATTCTAAAAAATTTAGTGTTGCGATAAACTGTACATTTTTTTTAAATTTTATATTAACTCTAGGCTTTAGGAAATATTCAAACATGAATTGTTTTAGTTTTCACTCGATTTTTTCCTTTTTACCAGAACATATAAACAATCCGTACGACTAAAATACTGTAAACTAATTTGTTTAATTGTAAAAAAAGAAAAATGCAATGAATAGTAATTTATAACAGGTCAGGTGCGGTCTGCTATACTTGTCTAAGCAATTATGCTTAATTGAGCTTATTAATAATACTTACAGAAAACGTACACCGATTGTATGACACTGTTTTTGAAAATTTCACATAGCAATCGATATTATTTATTTTTAAATTAGTTTTAAAGAAGAAAAAAATGAGTGGGGTCGGGGAGGTCACAGGTTTACAGGAATTTTTAAATCTGGAAGTGAATAAAATCACTTTCAAATAAACGCTTTGATGCTTATTTGTAAATAATACAGCACCTCAATTTAATACTTTCTGACTTTGCTGGTTTACACTGTGCTAAACGATTCAGATATGGAGTATGTTTGTTTGAATCTTCAAACTACTCGACCACTGGAAAGGGTAAAAATAATTTTTTTTTTTCTCAGCTAAGGTTTGTTTTATTATAACTGAATTACAAGAGCAACCATATTGATTAAGTGACATATTTTACTGTATTGCCTGTTATTGTATTGGTTAGATTAACAGTGGTGCACTCGTAATGATTTTTGTATTATGAACAATTTTAACAATTATTTTTAATACACTACTACAGTAGACAACACTGCTCACATTCTGAATTGCCAAGATTACGCAGTTTAATTACTCATTAGGTACTTAAATAAATATCTGCTCGGTTGTATGGAAATTAGTGAAATTAAACAAAACAATGGATAAAATCAAATCAATAAAACACACATAGTTATCATTTGATGATATTGACCAACACCAAGAGCTGAACTTATTCGACTATTAATAGGCTAAAATAATAATATCATACTCTTTTCCAAACCACCCTCGAGGTAGAGTATCAGGCTCGGTTTTTTTTTTTTTGGCGTGGTTTCCCCTCTTAGAACAGTTTTGCCGACAAACTAAACGGTTCACTTCCACGTCCGGTGTGTCGCTCAAAACGTCTGAGAAGGCCTAGTCCACGACTGAAAATTAATATTTAAATTAAATGTTAACGTTTATGTTAATATTTTAATTTAATTAATAATGCTGTACCTACCTATATTTTTTGCAGTGTCCACCGCGTTCGGTCCGAAGCAGAAACAAAATGATGGTATATAAAAAAAAATTGCAAAGCAGTTGTATGGCGACAAAGATAATTTCGCAAAAATAACTGACAGCCGATTGAACTTGGACAAGTACACAGCTTTTACTACACCATGTCTATGTTCTGTTCGTCTGTCCCTGCCTGTTTTCGTTGCTTGAACACGCCTTAGTTGTCATTTCTCTTGTGGTTTTTACATTTTTTTATTTAATTTCTACGCCATTCTATTTCTACCATCATGCCCAATTGACAGACAGCTAGCTTTTTCTTATCTTCCTGGCCGGTTGTAGGCCACATTTCACGTTATCACTGGTCTTACTACCAGTCTGTGTAACCATTTTTTTCGGTTTATTACATAACAATACATACATATTTTACTTACAAAATATTTAATCATGGAATCGGCTCATTCTTTTTGAATCACCCTGTACTTACAATCGTTTACTCCTGCTGTTTGACTCGTTCGACGTTTATACGAATAAAATTGACTTACCTATCTTCAAACAGGAACAATCAAATTCATCAACTGCAGGCATCAAATGTGTTCATTGTTTTCGAGCCTTGACCATTTAATTTAATTTTCTTAAACCGAGACACTTAGCTCGCCAAGCTTATTTAAAGTTACTTAAAAAAGTGTTATTCGTATTTTCTAAATTCCATCGATTGCCCTTACCTAATTTTTTCACCATCACACACTTCAGAAGTGTTCAGTAAAGGTAAGTTGTCCAAACGTTTAACTCTAAATTGCCTTTTGTTGGACGCAGAAGAAACCTGAAGTCTTGGTTATTTCTGTTGCTACTATTAATTTTCTTATTTAAGACTGCAAACTTCATCGGTTGCTACATCTGGAAACTAATAATTTTTATATTAGTCAATATGCTTTTTGCTTAAACAACAACAAAAATGTACTTTTGTCAGGTCTGTTAACTGGATTGCTATAAATCACTTCTCTTTTCTTTTTTCCCCAACACAGCTAAAATATGTTTGAGAGTTTTTTTACAACACGATGTGCCTCAAAAAATGGGTTTAATCCGTTCTGTTACATTTGACTTTTATTCCGCCTTGCTTGTAACGTTCGTTAGTAAGTCTGTAGTCGTTATTGAAAACATTGGCACATTCCAATTAAAATCGTTTGCGTTTTGCAAGTAGACGAGTTTTCGCACCGGAAACAAACACTTAGGTGAGAACAAATAACGATTAGTCTTACACTAAACACGTTACGCGACGGTTTTGAAATCAAATCGAAACACCGTCCAATAAAATATGATAACAGTGATGTGACAGAACAGAACAGAATAATAACTATTCGAAGAACCTGTCGTGGAATAACCTGCAAATATCGTTTGTGTGTCCAGTCCAAAAACATATAGTCGTGGTAAAAAGTTAGTGTACCTATTTAAAGTGAAAAAAATTGAAAATCGTAAACGATTTTGGCTCGAGGACAAAAATATACCATCCTTTTGACTGATTGTAATTAACATGCACGGATAATAATTATACAGTTTTTTTTAGCTCCACCGTGTACAAACAAGTAACTCAGTTAAATCACTCTGTTCGTGAAAATTGCGTGGAAGGTTCAGAGCAAAAACGAACCAAGTCCAGCACAGCCGATTTACACTTATCGTTTTTCGCATAATCTATTTTGTGTAACAATTAACTAAGGACTCGGTTCACTACTATTACACTTCAATCGTTTCAAAAGTACCGAGCGAACGGTCGTTGTTTTACAATATGTTTATTCGACAATAATTGCCGTTTGTAATTTAATATCAGTTTTCAATTTTACTCGGCCAAAAAAAAAAAATCAAATTAAAACCTAAAAGTGGTATACGAGTATGAAAACTTTATAGTATCATTCTGCATAGAACTATACATAAAACGATGGCGAGTTGATGTTGATTGTGAGTTTACAATTTTGGACGTTCGCTAGCCAATAATAGCTAAATTATAGTATATAATCTAGCTAGGCGGAAATTTCATTAATTTTTTGGGGGGGCTAGCATTTTTCTACCTAAAATGACCAGCAAGGGATTTACACTCCTAAATTATTAATATATAATACTATATAACATTACAAATGTATAAATAAAAATCATAATAATTATAATATAATATTTGTATATTATTTAAGTAAATACATATTATTTTAAGGCAATGTACCTATTCTTAGATCCAAATATATCAATATTTTTTTCTACACCAATATTTAAATCGTTTTCAATGTATAATATGGATGAATTATTAAACCTGTCTTGCAACCATGTCAGGTAACCATGTCTTAATTTTGCGCATAGCTGAAAAGCTGCGTTCGCATGTAGCTGAACTAATTGGCAAAGACAAGGCGACTTGAAATAATTTGAATAAGCTGGGAAATACATTTAAGGTTAGAGCCTTTTGAATTTTATCAATATTTATTGCGTTTTTTGAAAAATGTACATATTGTCATGTTCTATTCGATAGACTCAACGCGACTCTAATATTATATCCTCATCGACACACTGACGTTAGCCTTGCATAATAAATGAGATAATACACACGGCGACACTTCGACAGAACATACAATACAATAACGTCCGACTGTAAAAAGCAAAGAGCAGTGCAAACAGTTTTGAATTTTATTTTTCATGCACACGTCAAAGGAAACGCACAGCTGAGCGGTTTAAAGGACCGTATAAAGAATGAAAAATACGTACAATATTTGTTTTGCCCTCGTTAAAAGTTTTAGTTTGGTTCTTTTCCTCTTTCCTTTTTTTTTTTTTTTTTTATATTTATTTTGCGTTCCCGTTCGTGTAGTTTTTTCTTTCGACGTGCTATTGTACCTTTGCGTGCATATAATATTTCAAGCACACATACACACACTACAAAGTTAGCCTAAAATACAACCAATGTGCGTTAGTGTTGTGTGCATTCGGATGGTGTGTACTACTTGTCTTATACTTTCTCATTTTGACGTTTAAACTAAAGAAGTATACATATATATATATATATATATTGAACTCCCTACACTATTTTAAAAGTGTCTTATGCTAGTCACGCAATATTACAATAAATAGCGTTTTTATGTAGAAAAAAAAAAATATTGATAATAACCATTACAGCTTTTCTGATACCACCTAAATCACTTGTGACAATATTACTACTGCAATATAATACACTTGAAAACTACAATTTTTACATTAAAAAAAGATACAGAGAGCTGTCAAGCTTGCTCAAAAGAAATTCATCGAAGGAAGAAACAATTAAGTTGTTAGTGGTAATCAGATATTATCTAGGTTTGATTACGCGTCGTATGGTGCCAAAATATGAGAAAAACGTGTCGCCTCGAGGAAAATTTCTAGCTACGTGCCTGAAACATAGACCTTTAAAGAAATGGACTGATAGTAGAGAGAGAGGTCCGAATATCGACATCGTTAAAAAGAGACAGAGAGTTGTTAGGTTGGTCACGGAAGAAATAATATTATCATGGAGAAATAGTAATATGATAATACCCGATAACGAAATTTTTATATTAAAATGTTTTAATTAATCTTATTAGTTATTCAAATATTGAATTTTAATTATTATACGTTAAGTGAAAGTCAGCCGAAAAATCGAATAAGGTCCCACTAACAAAAACCATTCATTTGAAAAATCAGTAAAATGTATTATTCCTTTTTTTTATATTTTTTTATTGCGATATTACCTATTATTATTTATTATTATTTTTTGTACAATTATTAAACTGCGATTTTTTTATTATTATTATTACCCATTATTATTTTTTGTATTATTATTAAACTTTGTGATTTTTTTTTTATATTATAATATATATTAGTCGTAACTTGAAAGTGAAACAAATAAGTAGCGATTTAACAATACCTAGTGAATTTGTTTAAACTTAATGCAGATCTGTGATACAATAAATTGTCTATTGAGTTTGTAAAGAAAAACTGTTTTTCAAAACATACTTACACGTTTTATAAAAAATAAAACGAAATGTTCATTGATAAAATTTGAATGAAATTGTAATGGTTTTCAAGTATTTATTAACAATACGCTATACATGTCTACTTAAAACAATACATCATACGAAAGTATTGGATACCCGAGAAAATAATGAAATACATATCCTTAAATGCTTTACAACTTCGCATAACGCAATGATAAATAATAATTAAATATGATTTAATTATTATATACATGTATTTCCATTTGGTGTATTGTCATATAAATTATTATTATTCCATGTCTTTTCAGTTTTTATTCCATGGACAACCTAACAACTCTATTTATCTCTTTTTAACGTTGTTCATAACGCGGCAGTATAGGCGGGGTGTGTGGGAGGCGCAGTCCATGTCTTTATAGGTCTATGGCCTGAAACCTAACCAATATTGTTTAATAACATTGCTGAATTATTTCAGAACAATTCGGTAATTATAATTAAGTTGAAAAATACAATTCTAAAAATTTCGTAAGATTTATTTTGTACCGACGTAGATTAATTATTAATACTAGATGCCTACTTATGTACTAGGTAGTATTTATTTGGTTAACCAAAGGTATTTGCGTTTGATTTATTTAAATACCGTTATTTTACCTAACACTTTTCTGTTATTTGTAGGTAGGTATTGTGTTTAACCCTCGTTATACAATCACAAAAGTTAGGTCACCTACGTTTTATCAATAAATTCTGTTTAATGGCTTAAAACAAGAGTTAACGTTTTACATTGTATATTATTGTACTTGCTTGACTCGCAAAAAGCTTAAATAAAGTTTCGGTCAAGTCTGTACTGACTTAAAATTTTAGCGCTGTTTTCAAAACTGTTTAATTTCATTAACTACTAATCAAGTTAAAAGTATTTATCAATTATTACAACAGTGTAGCCATTGAACATTTTAGATTTAAATTGATTTTTGGGTGAAAAATTGCCTATACGCAATCCCTCGCTTTGTTGAGATTTGGGAAAAAAACATTGAAATTCAAATATTTGATTGCACTGTACAAGAATAAAAATACATATATATTTTTTTTTTTTGCTAATCCGAGTCCGGCCTAAGATTTTCTCTAACAGGTCTTATTATTATTTTCTTAAAGTCGCCTTCAAAGATGTAAGTACGTAGTTTCGCGTGATATTATATCCAGCGTGTTCTGTACGTTTTAATAATTGTCTAAAATGTATATCATGAGCGGAGTTTTTTTTATCTTATTTTCTTAATAATCAGTCTCAAAACATGCTGCGGTTGATAAAAAGAATACTTCACTCCGCCCTTCTTTTAATCTCTAATAACTTAAAAGCAATTACTCAAAACTGGTTATCGACCAGTCGACAATTTAAGCAATTGTTTTCTATTTTGAAAAGTTTAATATGTACGTTCCCATTTAAGTTCATCAAAATGGATCACCCTGTAGAAATTGAAGATTCGGAAACACAACAGAAAACCATGAGAGTCGGTATACTACGCGGGTGTATTTTGTTTCTTGTCCTGTGTGTTTTTAATTAATAATTTCCTGACATAACACAATGTAGAAATACACGGACGTTTATTATAAAAATAATATTACGAACAATTTAAATTAAAAATATACATATATATATATATATATATATATATATATATTATTGCTGCTCCTTGGCGTCCGAGGAAGTAAAACCGAGTGACCAAAATTTGCTCATAATAATTCCAACCACGGCTAAACGTTTTATTTTATAAACTAAAAAAAACGCAATACAATAGTAACAACATATACAAAATCAGCCATTTGTCAGCCGAGTCTGCAACCACGAAAGAGCATTTTCATGTCTCGTTGAAGTACCGAATAAATTTAGATTAGTTGTGGAATTATAATTAAAAAAAAAAAAAATTACATGGAGCTTCCAGTTACAGCATAAGGCCAAGGAGATTAAACAATTATGTACAATCAAGTTTCTGGCTAAAATTGTAACGTTTATTATCTGGCCAAAAGTAAATTAACATGGAGAATTAAACTGTTTTGAATTTGTTATTCATTTCTATTTTGAACGTTGAACGTACAACATATCTCTTATCTCATATCAGATAACAGCGTAACAGATTAACATTCGAAATGGATCCGAAATGGGCTTTCCGATAATTGTCTTTCGTCGTCGCTTCGTAGTTTTTAACACGCTTATATTAGCTTCACTTGTATGTATGTTTGTTTGTATGTTTGTACGTAACTATGTAACTAAAAGAGATAGGCAACCGAACGTACATGCGTGTATTCATTGTTGTTTACCCGAAGTTTTCAAGTAATAGAGACACGTGTGTACTAGAATTAAAAAACACGATTTTTAATGCACATCGAACTAAAAAGTGGAAAATAAATATAGTTTAAAAAAACTAAAAAACACGCTTAAATAGTAAAATAAACTAAAAAGTAGAAAATAATTTTCAATATAGAAATCAATTAATAAATAATAAATAGTATTATTGCGAAAAAAGCGTGGGGTGCTACATATATCAGTTCTTGAAAAGCGCCCCACACTTTTTTCACAATAATACTATTTATTATTTATTAATTGATTTCTATATTGAAAATTATTTTCTACTTTTTAGTTTATTTTACCATTTAAGCGTGTTTTTTTAATTGTTACCTTGCGGCGCGTGACAGCGTAACGCTTTTTTCGGTAACACTTTTTTTCGGTTATGTACCGGCTAATTCTCACCCCAACCCCATTCCCATTCCCACCCGCAACCTCATCTTCAACCCCATTTCTTTTTTGGTAACGCTCTTTTCGTAACGCTTTTTTCGTTACGCTTTTTTCGGTTATTTGCCAGAGCTAAGACATGAAAATGTCACAAAAAAAAAAAAAACATAAGAGAGGTAATACGCAGAGTACGGCGTTGCCCTTAGTTTCAAAAAGAATATATATATATATATTATTTACAATAATTAGTAGTTACAGTAAAAGTAACAGGAGACATAACGGCGATTCATAAACAGCTACAGCCGTTTACAAACATCCGTTTCCCCAACATCCGCACCAGGGCACTTTTTCCGTATTCTCCCTGCCGGTCATGCTCAGCTTCCGCCGGCATATTGTGCTGGTGTCGCTTTCCGCGTCTTCGCCGTCTCCCCTGGGCAACGAGCCGCCTCTGTGCTTGATCGTTTCCCGGCGAAAGCCCATCAGCGACGGTCTCCGACGTCCTCTGATCGGCGATTCTTGGCCAGCTGTTTTTTTACCAGCCCCCGTCACAGATTTGATACTGGCCCGGGACACGGCCCTCGGTTCGGCGGTGTTGATTTTCGGATCCGACGGAAACCTGCAACGAGAATAAGCCGATGAAAACGTCCATAATAATACACAATTGCTCAAAGAACGAATCGTTAAATGATAAGATGACACTCAAAAGGGCACAGGCAGAAAACGCGGTAGTTGGTTTATTTATTTCGTATGACACACAAGATCTTAAGCGCTACACAATCAAACAATTAATACAATATAATTTAAGTAATGAACAAAAAGATAAAAGAAAAATAAATCAACAAAACAGTTAAAATAGATAGTTGTTCATTTTACAACTATGTAAATATACTATGTAATTGGTTATGTCAGGTAACTTTTGGTTCGTAATTCGACGTCAAGTTTACCAATGGCATTCAACGGCCAAGTCTGTGGCTCTAAAGAAGTAGTTAGTTTAACGCGGTAGTTAGTTCACATGTATGAAAATTTTAGAGTATGGCAAAAACAAAATTGGCGAATTCCTCTCCCTCTTGTACATAAGAACAAAAAAAAAAAATCACATTAAATGCTATTCTAATAAAAAAAAAAATGTATTTATTTAAACAATCTATTGACATAAATTAAAAAAATTAATCGCATAAATTAAAAAAAAATTTTCATAATGTGACTACCGTTTTTCCCCTGTGCCCTTCACTTATATGTTCTCTTACAATAATGACCATTTTGTAGTTTCTCTTATTGCAGATACTTTAGTTGTATATATATTTATTTTTAAATTACTAGAGCCCTATTTCCGTATTACCTATAGAGACTGATCCATTTTTTTTTTTTTTTTACTTAAATGATAACTAATTTGTTGACGATTTTTACTGGTTATGGATAATTACTTAAATTTAAGACTAGAGGAAAGGCGGAGTGTTGTAGTTTTTTTTATCTTTGCGCGTTTTTCGACTGTCCACCTCCCAAAATAATTGTTTAACTTTAAAAGTAACTATACATCACTCGATGAGTCGACCAGTCCAGTCAACATTTTCGGCAAATTCTTCTTTATTAAAAAAGGTTACGATTTTTTTTTGTAAATATTTTTTTCGGGCAACAGATTACCAGAAAAATCGGATATTGTTTATCAAGTGGTAACTAATTCCTTAAGAGGGCGTCGCACCAGCGATTTTCAGTGGTAAAAAACATGTTTAAGCAGACTGAAAATAACTCGCTTAGTTTTGGTTTTACAGTAAAAGCACCCGTTATAAAATTAAAAGAAAACAATATTTCGGAGGGGGCAAAACGGTGCGTTTTTTTTTTTTTAATTAATTTTTTGGAAAGTTACAGTCGTTTAAAAATGTTAAAATAGTCGTTATTCCTAAACACACCGTCTTGCCCTCCGGAATATTGTTGTCTTTTAATTATATAATTGGCGCTTTTACTGTAATTCCAAAATCAAGCGAGTTATTTTCAGTCTGCTTAAACAAGTCGAGATGAAAAAATATTTTTAAATCGCTTTCGAGGATGCCGTGATAGTCCAAAAAATAAATTAACCACCGAAATAGAGTCCTAGTTATCGAACTAATAATATTACACATCGCGGTTTAATTTTGAAATTAAGATTTTGTAAAAAATCGCCTATACTTTACTCCTTGCGGTGCGACGCCCCAAAACACCGCATTTCTTCTTTTAGGTAGGCAATTGGTTGTCGCTTTTCCAAAACGCGCCTACGAATAACAACACAATTATGATGTTTTTGGATTTTTGTTGTTTTTTTTTTTTCCATTCCGAACACGTCTCGAATGGAAGGGGAAATGATTTAATCTTCCGCAAGGGTTAGGTCCATAGAACGCAATACGCAATGGCTAACCTGAAAGCCGTGCTCTGTTGGACAGACGGGGTGGTGGCCTGCGCGGCAGCCGTCAACGCGGCCGTTCCGTTCTCTTTGCCCTGTTGTTCGTCCGGTATCGGACTGCCCAACGTCGACGGATCTGCCATTTTCAGATTGAGCTTTATTTGCGATTTAAACGACTTTCTGCGGGCTATGCTGTTCATCGTGCCCGTCTCGTGCTCGGTAAGCTGCCGGACGATGGCCTTGTTCGAACCGAACCACAGGTACCTGGGCGAGCCCAACGTCAACCGCACACGCACGTACCGTTCACCGCCGGACATCCCTCGGCACGTCTTCCTTTCCACGCCACCTGTACGCGCATTACATATTATCATAATATATATATATATGGTAATTCTTTTTTTTGGGGGGGGGGGGAGGTTGCAGCCAAAAACCGCACACTTATGATTTCAACGGAAAAAACACTATATACATTATGTAGCCGAATACCGCACTTGGGAAGATGCTATAAATTTCGTTTTAAATTGCGATATTTCAACCTGCCAAAACGAAAAAACCACCTATGTGTAAATATCGAATTTTCATGTAATCGTCGCGACGAACATTTAGCCGACAATAGTTTTACATACAAACCAAAATATTTTTATCGACAGTGCAGTCCATACACGGATGGAGCAGGAATCGTTTTTTTCCTTCGAAATCTGAATTGTGTTGTTTAAAAAATGTGAGCCAATATTAAACATTTATGTATGCAGTCATAACATTATCCACCTCGATTTTGAGATGGCTATTCATGATGTTGAGCTATCCGTAAGGGAATCAAAAATATTGTCCTTCCAATTGAAAAACAAAAAAAAAGTTAGTTAATAGGCACGTTTTAAAATCGTTAATACGTCATGTTTTTAATTAAATTGGGTTTATTTTCAAGACCACTTGTTTGAATGTTGTTAAATCTTAAATTTTTCTACACATAAATTGTACCTAGAAAAATGTTCTTTGAATAAATATTGTGTAAAAAATAAATCATTATAAAAATGTGCGGTTTTTGGATACAGCAATTTTCAAAAGTGTGGGCCGGTTTTGACCTACCAAAAGTGTGGGCCGGTTGTGCGCTCATGCGAACAGTTCTTACCGATAATCGTGCCGTACTTCTTGAGATTCCTGAGCACTTCTTTGTCCGCGACGGTTTCCGGTACGCCCGTCAGCGACAGCATAGTGGCCCCGGCTCCGGTGTCCATCAACAGCACCGGCACTTCGCGGATTTTCAGCGTCGTGTGCAGGGCCTTTTCCATACAATAGGCACTCCCAAACGTCATATAACACCTGTCGTCCACCAACCGGACGCCCCGCAACTTGTCCCTGAGCTCCGGGTCGGTGGCTTCGATCACTTCGTCCACCTACAGCACACACACAAACGGTATATACTCTGGCCTACGACGGCATAAGGGTAGGCCTAATCCGAGAACGGGCGAAAACGGCGTTTTTGGTGTCTATTTTTTATTATTACTAGGCTAGTTTTTTCAGCTTGTACATTTCGGCCGCTGATCCAAAATTCTAAAACTGTAATATTCTACTAGGCCAGTGTAAAAATGCTTTGTTGTGCATTGTATTACCAAAAAAAAAATTTCCAACACAGTATTTACATTTTCAGCTTTTCAATGTTGTACTAATTACGGTCATAATGATTTGTGGCCAAACAAATAATAACACCGATACTTGCTACGATGAGTTTATATTATGTAAAACGAGTATTAAAGGCAAATTAGCTTGACACTTGGGCCCGAATTCACATGCGAGATCCTGGTGGGAATAAAAAAAAAAAAAAAATCCCATGTCCCAACTACTAAGATGATCGAATATAATATATTATGTTCGGCGGGTTCGAACACAAAGCTACAACAGAGAATCGAACAAAAACCCACTAGGATATTATTTATACACGGGGGCCTTGACGACAACACTGAACCGGCAGTCCATTTATGGATAATATTACCATAATATAAATCCACTTATGAGCTGTTGTTGTACGCGAAGACGACTTAAGTGATTGCCGGAAATATGTATATTTTTATTTTTATAGGCCAATAAAAAAAATATACATCCTAACGACAACGAACAGTAAACACAATTCGAGTAACATAATAATATAATGGCATTTATAATATTATTTGTTTGAAATTAGTACATAAATACATGTTTTTCAGGCGTTGTTTTGTACACGACTATAGACGGGTGACTCTTGTAGAATGAAACTATACTATTAAAGGAAAATATTAAACGGTAGGTACTATATTGTTGTTGGTAATTTTTGCTGAAAGCCCGTGTATGGGTGTTATGAGGAGAGGGAATCTACATAAGTCACACCAACTAGTGGAGATATTATGCCAGTTCTTTGTTGATTATTTTTAAAAGGTATAGTAAGTAAACGATATGTATATATTTCAATAGCCAGTACAACACATTTATTGTTTTTTAACTTTTTTCCCCCTTGAATTTAATTTTGTGCAGCAAACCTCCCGAGTAAGCGTATATGTAAAATATATATTTAGTTATTTCAATTTTTTTTTAAAGTGTAGGTAATTAGTGAATTTATTTTTCACTTGGCTATTTTTTTTTTTACATTTTTCATAAACAACCGTTTGAAATACGTTTTTATAAGCGAACACAATTATTTTTTTTCATATGCTTTAAAAAAAATATGGTTCACAATAATAATCGTTTTTGCGACCCCCCCTCGTCGCATACTCTCAATCAAAATTTTGTGCGGGGGAGGAGAAGGGGGGCTAGATGTACTTGTAACACTAGAAGTTACAATTTTAATTGTTAAATAAATTTGTCATATTCAACGAATCTTTTGCTGAAAAAAAAAAAACACTTAAAATACATTCAAGTTTTAAGATTTTCAATATTCCAACCCTCTCCCGTTGTAAATTATTACCAACGAAAAATATTTTATAAAAAAAAACCCGTGTATAAGTCCGAACTGCCCAAGTGAGTAATTAATATAATCATAAAACAAAAAAAATTGGGGAAATTATTATTTTCCGTTCAAATTCGTTTCGGCTGAGACATAATTGTTGTGTGATCGACGACATTTATTTCGTTTTAACAACATCCTTGGGGATTAACCGACATTTTTGGGGGGGGGGGGTTTGTGCCCTATTTTGGCGTTATTTCCTTAAGTATTGTTAATTTCATTAAAACGTTTCGTGTTTCGTTAACGACCGGTTGTCGTGACTTTATTTTTATGTCAGAATTTAATATGCCGCGTTACGTTTGTCGATAAAAACTCGGGAAAAAAAAAACCCTAAGCAAAACACGACGTTTCCGGATTTTCTTTTTACGACGGCGATTTTTATTATTATTTTTTTTTTTATCGACGGCATAAAACGTCTCTAGGGTTATGGTAAATCGACCACCGTAAAACCACCCTCATTACAATAATATTTAGGTCGCGGGGGTAGTATAATATGTACAAGACAAGTGCACCGTGCCCGCGTATACGACCGATAAGATCGGCGGAATTGTGAATATGCAATTTTTATCGTAAAAAAACCAACGCGGTTTTTGCATTTCGTATTTTATGATGAAATGCCCAAGATCGAAATTTCCAACTGACGGTTATTATTTTAGTGAAAGATTCGCGGCCTAAGTTTGCCGCATTTGTTTACCCTCGCTCGAGCTCAAAGTATTTTCCCCGGTCATCCGAGTAGTATTTTGAAAATGTCGTTATTACAGTGATGTGCGTTATCTAGGTAAAACTATTATTACCGTTTTGTCGTTTACAGTTTACAACAATAATACTATTTACAGGGAATGACCACAGAATAGTTTAAACTAGAAGAGACGCTTTTGATGTCAACAAAAATGTGTATTTATTAAGTAAACACCACAAAATTACTCGATCGTTTTTACCAGTTTGTAAGAAAAATGTTATTCTTTATTAATCTAGATACGTTTGATTTGTTTTTGTATCAAGATAACATGCATCGTCTATTATCTCCTGCCTAGATACAATTTTAACGAATCTTGTTATCGCACATAGGCTGTTTAAAAATGATCTTTGCACACACAGCCAGTGAGGGGGATCGTACAAGGACCTTAAAATGTGGTTTAATTTTTTCAAATTCCAATTATGCACCAGTAAACGCACAAACCAACCGTTAAGTTTTGGAGCTGCTTTTGCTGACCAAAGTCAAAGCAAGCGGTGTGAACGGGCCCTGCGGTGGCGGCCGGAGTGGCCACGGCGTCCGGATGAAGCCCGAGCAGCTGTCGCTGTCGCTCGTGCGTTTCGTCGGCGTCTGCCGCATGAGGAGGCGGCGACGGCGTGGTGCAGCACAGGAACAGCGGCGGTGGCGGAGGAGACGGCGGCGATCCGTCGGCCGCCGCGCCGCCGCGGCACTCGTCGACGTCGCCGTCGCCGCAAACGGCCGGTGCCGGCACGTCGACTGTCAGCGGTTGTGCCATCCCGTTGGCCGGCTGTTGCGGCGCGACCGCCATCTCTTGGACGACCACCATGGCGTTGTTGGCATGACGGACGTCGTTGCCGTTGTTGTCAATTATGCCGTCGTCCGCTCCCTGAAACAAAGGGTTTTCTATTTCTTTACAATGCGGTCAATGCATTTTGATATTTTATTTGCAGACAACAATTCGAGACAATATTGGTTACAAAACACAAGGTCGTTTTCGCTTATCGCGCACATCCGAGTTGGAATCTGTTAAATTTTAGTTTTAGAAAAAAAATGATCTCCGAATCGAAGCCGACAAAAATATCTTATTGTTTATCATTTTTGTATAAAAATGATTTAAATTTAAAAATAATACCACGGTGCTTAACCGGTTAATTGATTGGACACGGTCGAAATTTATTAAAACCATTTTTTTCTTAAATATTGCCTACACAGAACTCCTGAAAAATGGTCGGTATCCGGGGGCCTTACTCACAAGTCTTGTAGTGTACCTATGTTCACGGCACTCGGTATATGCAACACCACAAGCATGTAAATACGTTGAGTGGCATGCAGTTTGCATTTGTTGTAGAATTGAAAAATGTCACAACCCAACACATTGATGCCGCCAAACGTACAAGTCGAACTGGCGCAAGTTTAAAAAGCAAGGGTTGATGACACAATTGACGAAGTAACGACAAGTGCACACATTGTAGTCGGTAAATGATAAATTTTAAAAAAATTATGTCACAATAAAATATAATATAATTACATTTTGTAACAAATTTTTTTTTATATCGTGTGGGTATGATCCGTATATAGATTTAGTAAACAAAAACAAACGGTGTTGTTTGATAAAAGATATCTAATAATTTCGCCTGATAGTAGTTTTAATATAACGAAATTAAAAGTACAAATAAATTATGTAAATCAACATATATTTTTTTTTATAAACTTTCACACGACACGACCATTTTTAAATTTAACTTTTCATTTAGTATTTACATTGATTTTGTTCGTTTTCCTTCTGTCTTGTTTGCTTGAATGTGTATTCATTAAACAGTTGGTTTTTTATTTAAGTAAGTAATATTTACTCCAGTTATTTTTATCTCTGCCCCTTCTCACAAACAAGTTTAAAAAAAAAAAATGAACGCCATGCCTTATAAATTTGTAACGCCGTTGTTTCAAGTGTGTCCATTGTTCGGGTTTTTGGCGTCTGCTATACTTAAGTCATCAACCGTCGTACGATATAACTTATTAATAAACTAAATTCTGATGGAAGTGAAAGTCAAACGTCAATCGTGTCTACAACTCTTAAAAAATTGTTTTGTGTGTGCGTTTTATACTCGGTTTTTTTCTTTAGACTTTTTTTTTTTTTTTGTACTATGTCACCGAAACCTAACGGACATTTCACGACCACTCATGTGTCATCCCTTGCGAGAGTCAGATACCGCACTACTCTTTTTGACATTATGCTTTCAGCTCTGCAGACGGTGTTAAGTACCCGTCAAGAACACGAGTAATGACCGTTATGGCTCGAGGGGAAGATGGGAGAGAATGGGGATGTGGACTGTGAGGCAGATAGGGATAGGGTCAGCTGACAACTTTGATCCCGTGTACGACGGGAAAGACCCAATATATATATATATATATAATGGGGGTAGTGTAGTTTTCCGCAGGACTTGGTGTTTCTGACGCTTGTTGGGCGTTAAAGTAAGATACTACTTGCAATTTGTAGTCAAGCGTGTTGAATTTCTTGTAAATATTTTGTTTTTCATCGCCGCCTCATTATCATCGACCAGCTCAAAACTCAAAAGTTATTTAAGCATAATAAATAATACTTAAGTGTACTATGTATGGGTCGTTCATTGTAAAAGTGGTGTAACTACAATTTTGCTACATGTGTTTGCTTAATTCAATTACAAGGATAATTCACTTCTACAATGAAC